TTAAACCGAATAGAAAATTATCGGATTTCTCCATCGCGTATTACATATAAGCTTTGCTTAATTGTTACTTGAAATTGATTGTATATTGTTCTCAGATCTCTATACTAGCTCAAAAAATTCCAGTTAACAAATCGGGTTACTTTTAAAGAAAATGGTAGGGAATAACCATTTTTTTTTAAATATATGGAAGTAAAGTGAAAATTAGGTAAATGACTGTTTGTTTGACCATTTTCCTAATAAGTGGCCGATTTTTTTTTTTAAATAAATCGTCGAATTTTTTTTTTATTTTAACAAAATGACTATTTTTCCAATAGGCAATAAGTGATTGACTATTAATTGACCGACAGTCAATTACTATTAGTTGAGTCATTATTATAATTTACTAATGATTTATTATTAATAAACAATAAATTTGTTGATTAAAATTGATTAATTACTAATTAATTTTGGTTAATTATGAACTGATATTAATTAATAACGAAAAATTACAGTGTTAATCAATGAATGATTGCTAAGTAAATTAGTGATTGATTACTAAATTAATCAGTGATTGACTACTAAGTTAATAAAAGAAACAATCATTTTGCTAATTTTACAAAACTACAACTATTTAAAAAAAATCCTGAAAAGGGGTTATTTACCTCTATAAAAAAATCCTAAGGAGAACGGGCCGGGCTAGCTCGTTCTTGCATCTCTAAAACTGAGATCCAATAATAATTATTCAAAAATTATATTTTGACTAAATAAAAAATTATATTTTAACCCCTAAAGTTTCAAAAAATTATATTTTGACTAAAATTTTGGAAATTATATATTGACAATTATTTTTTAAAAAAAATTACATTTTAACCCTAAAGTTTTCAAGATTTACAATTTTTGACACCTTCAATTTAGTTTTGCTTTTCTATTTTCTATCTTTGTATTTTTGTGTTTCAAAAATATTGGGACCCGATTTGTGTTGATTTAATTTTGTTTATCGAGTAGTTATTTGTATTTTGTTGTAGGATTTCAATAGATTTGAGTCATGAATCATAGTATTTATCTAATTATGTTAAATTGATTGCTCTATGTGTGCTTAATGCTTTTAATTTCTCGATCAACAATTAAATGATTAGGAGGCCATAATGAATTTGGAAAAGGGATTTGTGTGTTTGTCAAACATAGAGTGACATTAAGCGAGTGGCATAAGAGTATGCTTGCTAGATTAGGGTAGCCATTAGAGGGAACCTGTAGCTTAATGAATTCTTGATTAATTGGTACTGAAGGGATATGGTGTTGATTAATTGAGAATATTTTAACTTGACTACTGAGAGGGGCTTGTGGATAGGTGAGATTATTCTCGGCTATCACTTAATTAGAGGGCTAAATTAGAGAGAATTGAGAATGCTTTGTAGATTGGTTAGGTAAAATTGGACCCCTAAAACTATTTGCTTATCGTTTTGTTTACTTAATTTTGTTCTATTAGTTTTGTTTAATTTAATTTAATTGGTTCTCTCTCTCTCTTTATTACTTGTTGACTGTGTATTCTCACATGTTAGGTTATAAATTAGGGATGGATGATCTCCCTCTCTCTCTCTCTATACGTATGATATACGTCCATGATTGCATCAAATTGACTAACCCAACAAGTGGGGGTTTGTTTAATGAATATAGTATAAAATTAAAGGAATGACAGCTTTTGCAGTTGCCGACTCTGCGAGAATAAAATAGCGCATGAGTTGAGTACATATATATGCAGCTAGATTTAGCTTGTCATTGTTTGTGTCACTGTTTATTCAAAGAACAAAAAATATATATATATATGTTTTGTGTCACACTATTTATTTATTATATACACACACAACACATAGAATGAGATGGATCAAATATATAATTGTGTAACATATTTATTAAGACCTCGTTCATTTCTTTGATTCGAATTTTACTATTATAGTAAAAAACTCTCAAAAATAGTCACATCTAACTTTTTTGCTACAGTAAAAAGCTCTCACATAAAATCACATCTCAACTCAAAGTAACGAACTAAACGGGCCCTAAATGTTTTGTGTCCTACAGTATTTTCCATACTTAACATATTGTTTCCCTCTCTTTATATTTCTTTGAATTTGCCATATGAGTAGGATGCTAGAGTGGGAAATTTTGCAAGATTATATTGGAGGCCAATTAGATCTTCTAATTCTGAGTACTTTGCATTCCTTCACGCATACATGGACGGATCAACTTGTCCTGCTTAGTGACAAAGATCTTTACTATATTTTAAAAGTACACCATAATTTTGTAAAAGAAGATATTATTCATTCATTAATTCTACAATGTTCTTTGTACAACTAGAAAACAAATCCTCTCAAACTTGAAAAGTACTCTTAAGTTGAGGACCATTATGGTGTATTTTACTACAATATAAATTTACTAGTTTTTAGACTTTAAACCTTAAACTCTATTAATTCTAAAAAAAAAAATTAACTTTATTAGAAGCTCAATTCATTTAGAATAAAAAAAAGATATATTAAAGTAAAAATTATTAAAATTTTAGTTTAGTCACACTCCCATTAAAAAAAAATTCTTGACTCCACCACGGACTAAAACGTTTTGTTTTAAAGTATCAAAACTCTTTTTATGAAAACCCAAAAAAATTTTAATAAATTAAAATTTATGTTTAAATTTATGAAACTAAATAACGGACTATTAACATTCATTGTAAAAGGATATTCTTAATGAGATTCTCGGTCATAAAGTAGTAATTTTTACGCTAAATTTGCACTCTAATTGTGCAAATAAGTAGGAACTAAGAGAGAGAAAAAAAGAGAGAAGATAAAATTAACAGAAGGAAACAAGAAATACAAAAATGTAAAATTTTTTGAATTAATCCTTTTCCTAAACTCCATACTGCAATCTTGAACCTTGCAAGGTTTCAAATTAATCCTTTTCCTAAACTCCATACTGCAATCTTGAACCTTGAATTAATCATCTAAGCAGGGTTTGAATTCTTTCTGATCACTAGTAACACTTAACTATTCATTTGTTAAATGTTACTTTTCAAATAGAATAGAAAATATCCACTCTGCATATTGCTGAGATTCCAATTTAATACAACTATAGAAGAATAAACTAAAATTTTCTGAGACCCTCTGGAGATTCTAGAACACACCATATTAAAATTAGCTCATAATCTTATCTCATCTTATTAAGAAATTTCTCAATATTTTTTTTCTTCTTCTTCCTTTTATTGACACGAGGTTTCTTTCTTAACCTTCATAAAACCCATGACACAGAAATATTACAAACCCATTGGATAGAAGTTAACCTTGCAAAACCTTTCCATTAGGTATCCCTTTCTTCTTCAGCGGCTTCATATCAATATTCGATGTTTTGACGGCTTTACCAATGCATTTGAATCTAGCCTAGGATAGAGGCTGCGTTAACTAAAATGCGTGACGTGGTGGACTCACTCCGATACTAATTTTTACAAATACATAAGTTAGAATTTACCCACCTTGCAAACCGACTTGTAAGGGAAAGAAACCTAAAGTGTTTATTAACCCACTAATCATATGTAATAATTATTCTATATGAGACTTTTGATATCTAACATGGCAATTTGGCAAGTTCAATTAATTAATTTAGTTGTAAGCTGGATTTTAAGCAAAAGCATGGCTGGATCTTTGCTGGCACGTGATTGTAGCCTAAGGACCATTAATTCCTCTAAACAATTTTATATCTTTTTTTTTTTTTTCTAAATTACGGCAGAAACTTTGGGCCTTGATTCTTGGAGAGAGGCCTGAAAACTTGGGTTCAAGTTAATTATGTTTTTGCAAAATTTTTGACTGGTCTTATTACCAATCTGTTTCTCCATCTGGGATGCCAGCTATGTCCTTGCACAAACCGTCTAAAATGAGTAATGGTTCCCAACTCTCGGGGGCTAAAACAGTCATATCAGTCCTTTTTTTCATTTTTTTTTGGTGGGTGCGTTGCTCAAAGCTGATTTACCTGTAGCAGCCAAAAGCAGAAATCTGTTCTCGAGCTCAGTAACTGCTGAGGAATGTATTAATTGGTTGCCCTTTTAGGACTTATATATATACATATATATATATATATAGAGGTAATAAAACGAGTTATGTAGAATAGGGCCAAGTCAAAGCTGCACCTACTTGTTTATTTGCTTATTTGTTTATTTAGGTATCTTCAACTTGAAGATCACTCTCCTAGATTTAAGCCCATTATAATGTTATAAAACAAGTTTTGAAACTTTAAATTCACCTAAAAAGGGCTATTTTGGAGCCTTATATACTTTTTTAGACCCTTTCAATTCCTTAAATCTTTAACCTTTCAAAATCTTGTTATTTAGCCCTTGATAGTTTGGAATATTGGACAAGAATGAATAACACTTGTCTACATATATAGCTCATGAGCCAAGACGCTGAAATAGTAAATAAATACATCAAGTTACAAACCATTCTTAGCAATTCAGATCTTTTTCTAGAAGGTACAATAGAGTTTATTTTTTATTTTTTATTTACGTCGATCTTTGTTGTTCAGTTATTTTACTGGTATTTGTTCCAAACCAACAAGGCTACGACTTTCACATCATCTTATCAAGAGGAAAAAATGTCTCTGTCTTGGGTAGACAATGTTATTTTAAGCAAAATTATAAGATATTGAAGAACTTAAAAACGCATTCAGATAGATGGAAAACAAATGGGCAATATATCATTTTTTCTATTAGTAACAACTTGCAAAAGGAATTTTCTACATTCTGATGACTTTATATATAATATTTCTGAAGAGAATAACGTATGAAACAACATCTACTTAACGTGATTATATACTAAAACTTTGGTACTCAAGTCAATGATGTCTGCTCAACGATCACATTTGTTTATCATTTTTTTTTTCTTCAACTCGTTTTCTTTCTGTATTAGTTGTCCTCTAAATTCAAGTCACAAGCCAAAATAGTTTGTATTGCTTTTTTTTTTTCTTTTTTTATTTCTCTCACAGAGATGATGAGAGAAATTTATTCATGCACATGGCCTTTTGCAATCACGACGGTGGTGTTCGTCGTTTTTCTTGCTAAGTTTTTGAAAGACAAGAAGAAGAATGTGATAGAAAGCAAACACAAACTGCCACCAGGAAGAAGAGGCTGGCCTCTAATTGGAGACAGCTTCAGTTGGTACAATGCCGTTGCGAGTTCTCATCCCCCACGATTCGTTGAAGAGCAAGTTAAAAGGTAAATTGTCCGTTTAGTTCTCTTATTCGAGTTTTTAATTCGAGTTGAGATTTAATTTTATGTGATAATTTTTTACTGTAATAAAAAAATTAGATATAATTGTTTCCACACTTGTTTGTCAACTACAACTCAATCACAGAACAATACTAACAAAAAAAAAAAAAAAGGCAATTGAATCTCATAGTTTCTTGGAAAACATTTTGAACAGGTTTGGGAAAATATTTTCGTGCAGTCTGTTTGGAAAACGGGCTGTGGTATCCGCAGACCCGATTTTTAATCGGTTCGTAATCCAAAATGAAGGAAAACTGTTTCAGTCCAGCTATCCAAAATCTTTCAGAGACTTGGTAGGTAAAAATGGGGTGATCACAGTGCAAGGAGAGCAACAAAGGAAACTCCATGGCATTGCCTCCAATATGATGCGCCTAGAGAAGCTTAAATTCCATTTCTTGGAAGATATCCAAAGGGTTATGCTTAACACATTGACCAATTTCCAGGACAACCAAATCATACTTCTCCAAGATGTTTGCAGAAAGGTATTTACACAAATACCTAGACCTTGCTCGGTAAAATTTATGCTTTTTTGTTTTTGTTTTTGTTTTTTTGTTTTTTGAGGAATACTAATATTTTTCTATAGGGGCAAGTTAGTTATTATTTTTGTGTAAAAGATTACAACTTCACATTTGAAAAGTTTTTTTTTTTTTTTTTTTTTTCGTGGTAAAATTCATATTTTAGACATATTCGCATTCTTATGGGTTGAATCTTCTGAAATTATGTATGTTTTTCAGGCGGCTATTAATCTAATGGTTAATCAACTTTTGGGCGTAACAACCGAGTCTGAGATCACTGAAATGGCTCAGTTTTTCTCCGATTTTGTTGACGGCTGTCTCTCTGTTCCGATCAATTTTCCTGGCTCTGCTTATCACACTGCCATGAAGGTAAAAACAAGTTTTCTATTTACTGAGATTTTTTTATAAATGATTCAGAAGTTTGTTC